ACGACTCTTTGCGTGCAGAAATTCAAGGCAATTATTTCTTGAACTTTATTTTATGCGATTTATACCATCCATCGTTCGGGGAGCTCGGAATCGAGTAGAAAAGCAACTGATAGGAACACCAAGAACTCAGAATTTATTAAAAACATTCAAAACAGCTGGCAACGACGTCATGGTTTTTTGATCGATCATAAGGGCCAGTTAGGAAATTTTCCTCACCACGAGCTCAAGTCTCGTGGCGTAGATTGGACGAAATTTCAGAGATGGTTTCCTACCCAATAACTACTAGCTTTGTGAATGTTAAGACGAAAATCATCTAGGAGAAAAGTCTAGGTGGCCTCCTCCCATAGAGAGGGGACCCAACCTTTGATGGCGGTCCAATCAAGCGACCATAACCCACACGAGTGACTTGTTAGAACCCAACTTCAACACCCCGGATATATTTCGGTCACGACACAAGCCCCTCAGTTAATAGAAGTGGTCGGTTGAGACGCCAAGATCATCCAACTGACCCACTAAACCAACCAACTAAATAAAAAACGGTCAGTCGAGACACCAAGATCGTTTGGTTGATCCATCCATTTACACATTCGAATTGTGCTCATCCCCGGAGATGATCACCAACCCAGCAACGACAAGCTCCGCGAGATACAATCTTCTCGAAGGTCAATTAGTGACTAAATGATTAACAATGGATACCGTGATACGAAGGACCAAGCACAAACCAAAGAGTTGGTTCAGAGGAAAATGCTTCAGAGCCAACGAGATCCTCTGAGCCAACGAGATAGCCTAAAAATTTACTAAAAACGAAGTGCAAAGAGCGCCTAAACAAGGAGTATCATTATTAATTCTTATGAAACTTGTTTTTGTTTTTAAATTTTTCTTGTTCTTATCGCAGTTGTCGCTATCAAAAAACAAGAATACTATGGAAGTTAATATATAAAAGAAAAATGATTTGAATAGATTTCAAGATAATCCAATGCTCTAGATAAGATGATTAGAATATCCTTTATTGTTCTCTTTTAAAGCCAGTGATGTAATTTTATACTTTTGCCCTTCTATCTTTTATAAATAGGAGGACTCTTTATGCATTATATGGTTTTGGCTCTGCTCTCTTGTAACCTAAACATTCAGGAAACAAAAGAGTCTAAGAGCCCCGAGAACACTTCATTCGCCGCTACGGTGCAAGTCCTCTTCTCTTTCTCTTTCTCTCCCTACGTCTCTATGCTCTATCCCTTGAGCACAATCGGATAGATTTGGATTCAACAAGAAACAAAATTTGATCTTAATTTTAAATATTAAAAATTTATTGTTGTTTATTTCTTTTCTTGCCTTAAGCCCAAATGTCATGGGGATCTCCATACAATTTTTTTCCAGGATTTTTAATGTTTCTTTAATGAATATGGAGAGCAACATTATGAGTGATAGGCATATGAATCATATAATAAGCCACTACACAAGCGTTTAGCTTTTTTTTTTTCAACTTTAATTATTTTGTCCTTATATTTTTAATCTTTGTTATAAAATATTTAAGAACATCTTTGTATCCTTGCTAAAAAAAAGGGCCCCTATTCCACTTATGGGTGCCATTTGTAGCATTATTAACTTCTTTTTGGTGGCCAACATCAACCCAAGCCCTACATTTTATAATTATTCAAATAATACGAACATAATTTGATGCAATTTTGTTTCTTGAATTTTGATAATTGACAATTTAAAATCGTCTGTAACTCCATGCATTGAATGGGAGAGGAACATATTAAGAGGGATAAACAACAATACGAGGATATGGGCGACTCCGATAACTAGAAAGAGGAGGAGAATACCAAACACACTAAAGGAAGAAGCTCATCAAAGTTTCATTCAATTCTTCTAATGTCTTCAAATGAAACTATTTATTAATTATCTAATTAAATGTGATTATTAATTTAATATAAAATTAATCATTATTGTATCATATTATTATATTAATTTTTTAAATTTGATTTTTATTTAGTCAATTATTTGGAAACATATCAACTTAATTGCACTTTTTGATAAATTTATCATCGTGGCAAAAGCAAATTGCTTGCAATTTTTCTGACTTCAAAAAACACTATATATATATATATATATAGACACACACACACACATATGAGTACACCTCCTTAAGGTCAACTATGTCAAGGGAGAATTCGAACCCCCGACCTTATGGGCTTTATATCGTGAATGCCAACCAACAGACCAAGCTATGTGGCACGGGTGTGTGCGTGTGTGTGTGTGTGTGCGTGTGTGTGTGTGTGTTTGTGTGTGTGTGTGTGTGTCTGAACTAAAAAAACTGAAACATTAGTTTAACTAGGATGATATTGCAATTAAAAACGAGTGGTAGTTAATTGCATCACCAAGAATCGAATATAATCAGTTAATTAAAAGAATTAAATTTGTATAAAAAACTAAATAAAAATTATCTTATTAAATTATTATTTAAAGTATTTTTTATTAGTTACTAAATTGAATTACATATTAGCCTTGCAATCATTTTCATATTCTTGATGGGCATAGGTAAGCTTTTCAAATCACCTTTTCTATTAAATTTTAGCAGTACTTAAATATTACAATAAAATATTAATATTTATAAGTAAAACCTAATTTATCATGCCTCTAAATATTGATCAAACATTTAAAATTATTTGTTATTAATTAAAAAAAACTTAGCAAAAAAAATTTATTAATCTAAAATCATGATTATAATCATTCATAAAACCTATATGCCTAAAACTAATTTTCCGATTTATGACTCTATTCTCTTACAATCACCATTAGAATAGACTTAAAATTCCCTACGAGAAGAAGACAACAAATTCTCATAAAAAAGTTGACACATTTCAAGCCCTTATTGGTTATATGAATACAAGTTGGCTAATCAAATATAAAGTGCCAATTTAGCCCAAAATAATTTATTATTTATAGGTCATTTTTTACTTTACTTTCTTAATTTTTTTAATGTATTAGAGAGGACCACTGCCTTATAATTTGATATTATTTTATTAATGAATGGGAAGCGTAAGGCTTCGTTTGAGGAGACGGTAAAGTTCCGTTTGATTGGAGCGAACGCCGATTTTTGCCCAACTCGTTTGGTGAAGACGAACTTTTTCTGAAGTTCTTTCGCAAGAACGGCAAATTTTTATCGTCTCAGATCGAAGCCCGTCTACTCTAATTCTACGAACACAAAAGAGATATGATAAATGTTGTCGTTGTTTCAAACAAAGCCTACGAAAAACTCAGCAGCTTACTTGCATCTCAAGGCTTCATTTCTTAACAAAAATCTCAAATATAGTAAAAAAATAAATAAATGTTTAGGATATTCTGTCTGAGCCATAATCGGACAGCCCAAATGCAATATCAGAAATAAATTTGACAAAGGCATTAAAAATTAAAAATTAAAAAAAAAGTGAGAAGAAAATGAAAATTAAATAAATATGTACGGTATTTTTTTCATTATTATTTGTTTTAAGATGAAATTAGTTCTTATTTTTTAATTCATCCAAACAACTCAGTGGAATTACCTTTTTCATGAGAGAGAGCTTTATTGAAATTTGCTTTTTACCTTTACAAAAAGAAGGGTATTGAGGTAAAAAGAACATATATTGAATTTTATTTTTACTCATAATAAATAATTTAAGTTTATATAAGGTTAACCAAGCATATACATAAAATTTTAGGAGATTTATATATATATATAATACACAGAGAGACAGGGAGACATAAAAAGGAGTTAAGAGTAATAAAAAGTAATATGTCTTGTCTATTATCTTTTATCTCATAAGATGATCTTCATATTTATAGGGGAGAGAGTACAATATAGTGATATTACATTTTTTATCTTGCTTTAATGGGGTTGTACATATACTCAAGATATTTTGCATATTCAAGTCTATTGCTCAACTGCTCTTTGGCACGGTCGATTGAGCTTGTTTGATCTTAGCTTGGTAAGACCGGTTCGATTGAGTTTGATTAGCTACGTGTCGGCACAATTGATTTGATTGGCTAGGCTTTGTCGCTCTGTCAGTTTGGTCTAGTTGTTGACCCTTAATCCAGTGTGAGAATCTTCTGTCGACGATGTTAGACTAGGCTATAGGGTAGAGAGTAAATCATCGTAACCATAAGGTAGCTCGTTCCTTAATGAGGAGAGCCTGTGGGATGACTATAAAACTTTGCTAGATTGTCAATTCTTAGTCTCTGACGAGGAGACTCGGGGGTGTCTATGAGATGACTTGTGATTTTACGGAATAGGGTTTTTCCTTGAGCCAAGTGTATTGTAATGTTGGTTACTGCTTTAGATTGATTTTCTTATGGTGGTTGGCTCGAATGTGTACCTTCTTATTCTAATATGATTGGTCTGAATTCAGATCAATTGATCGCTCTTTTGTGGTCCCTCTTGGCTCAATCAGCCTTCAGCTTTGGCTCGAAAGATTACATCCCGTTAGCCTTCAGTTTTGGCTCAAGTGGTTGAATATGATCGGATATCGATGAGTCCTCCTTTGTTGCACTATCTTCCTTCTGGGCCAAGATATCTCCTCAAGATCAGTGCTAACATATTTTCCAACATACATTATCAAACACCTAAAGCTTAATTATATGCATACCATCTTATATATACATGAAAAAGTATATCTGCCATTTTTAAAGTTGAAAGGATTTTTTATGAGATATCATAAATATGAAAAGTTAAGCCTATGTGTTAGCTATATAAATACATAGGTATTAGATGATATATATTTAAATGTGTCATATTTCTTATTCCATGCATCTTTAATGTACCTTTTCAGAGTGAATAATCTTATTTTATTCAACTTCAAATTATATTTTCACCTCCAATCAAATTTCATATATTTATTTATTTTTTAACTATATTAGGGAATTTATTCATTAATTCACACACAATATAAATATTCATAAAGCTTAAAATTTGAAGGCCAAAGCTCTCCACCAATAATTATCTCAAACACCTTTCCCATCTTATCAAATTAACAGTAATCTCCACTTCCATCGTCTAGATCACATCACCCTGCTTACTTCGAGAGTCCCTACATGGTCCTTTTCTAGGACCTTTGCTGTGACATACCACAGGAAATGCAGCAATCTGTCTTCTTCTCCTCTCCTTTCTCCATTTATAGCTAACAAAAATCTCACTCATCCTTCACTCCACCTTCTTCTTCTTCTCATTCTTCTCCAAAATTCTCAGCTTTTACTATACCATGGGCCTGAGTGGAACTATAGATTACTTTTCTGACTTGTTCAGAAGCTCCCATAGGCACAAGAAGAAGAAACAGTTTCAAACTGTGGAGCTCAAGGTGAGGATGGACTGTGAAGGTTGTGAACTTAAGGTCAAGAAAGCTCTCTCTTCCATGAAAGGTTCGTTTTTCCCCCATGTGAAAGCTTTAAACTTGGCATTCTGTTCGATTAATTAATTTCTGATATGTTGGATTTGCAGGAGTCAAGTCTGTAGACATAAACCTGAAGCAGCAGAAGGTGACTGTAACTGGTTATGTAGAGCCAAACAAAGTATTGAAGAAGGTTCAGTCTACGGGGAAGAAGGCTGAGCTTTGGCCTTATGTGCCTTATAACTTGGTTCCTCAACCGTATGCTGTTCAGTCTTACGATAAGAAAGCGCCGCCTGGCTTTGTGAGGAATGTGGAGACTGTTACTGTTAGTTCGCTGGAGGGAAGACAAGATGAGCATATCACAAACATGTTCAGTGATGAAAATCCAAATTCCTGTTTTGTGATGTGAAGAAGAAGAAGAAGAATCCAATCTTTGAATCTCTAGCAATTAATAGTTTAAAAAAGTTTGTTTTTTTATATAAAGAAGTGCAGGGAATCGTCTTTTTCATCTTTACCTGCAGTATCTTGGATTAATCTGAAGAGTTTGAGAAGATTTTTGAGCTGTTTGGGTCTGTTGTAGAGGTTTTGATGCGTGATAAAGGTATAAAGAGTGAAGAATTCAACTGCACATGTTGGGATCAGAGTTTCTGTCCTTGTAAAATAGGATTTGCAGTTTCTGTCAAGTTTGGTAATTGCATCATTTATTGTGCTTTGATGATTATAGAATCATAATTAGAGTACCTACTGTTCTTAGCTTTAAATGCAATATTTAATGAGCGGCGTAGTTCTGTTAAATGGCGAGCTGTGACAGAGAAATGGCCGGTGGAACAATTCTGCAAAAAACCTTAGATGATTTTTCAATTTCTAGTAAGAAACCTTTCAAATTTAAATTTACAATTATCTCAGCTTCAAAGACGAACCAACGAATTTAAAATTTGTTTAATCCGGCCTCAATAAAGCTGGGGCTCAATCAAACCTAGATCAAGTCCTTGAAGTATAGTTGAATGTTTTGGATCGTCAATGAGATGGTCAAATGAACTCCAAATTTGTCATACTATATTTGAATCAAATGTCTTGATAAGAGGAATCCAACGAGCTTAATATCACTCAGTTCTTATGTCATTAAGACACCTAGATCCCTAAAGAATAATCTATTATTAAATGGGGTCGACATGACCACCGGCCTCTGTAGCCGTCAGTCACTATCAACCATCAACCTTCTTAGCCCCCGACCACCATTGACAACATGCCACCCTAACCACTTGTCACTGTTGATTATCACCCATCAGAAACTGCTATTTACAAATGTTGTTGTCAAATTACGACTATTATTAAAATTGCAAACACTTAAAGAAAGTGCAGTTTTCAATGTATGTAAGATTGTAACCATTCTCCCAATCGTGAGAGAAATCTGTACTCCTGTGCTTGCACGTATGATAGATTACTTTGACCAGCTATATCTCATGTTTTTTTCTTTTTCAAGATTTTTTAATGTAAGAATTTTGGCATCTCCCTTAGTTATTTTTTATATCTATGTGTAAGTGTTGAGTTCTCGTATAACGCTAAGGTGCTAAATCACTACTTTATCGCCGCATATTTTCTAGCATGCAACATTACCTATGCTTGAAAATGTATATTTCATTTTTTTTAAATATAATAATAGTAGTATTTTTTCATGTGATACCAAATATTTAAGTTTTATAAATATTTTAAAAAAACGTGTTTCGTAAAAACATATAAGAATTGTGTGACATATATAAATGCCCTAAAAACAGTAATTCAAAAGGTCAACCTATTTTCTCCTTTAATTATAAGGGATTGTTTGAGATAGTTTTTTGCCTTTTTGTTTTTCAAACTACCGTCATAGTTTTGTTTAGAGAACTATTTTCTCTCTATCTTTTAAAAATTTATATGACAAAATTATTTTTTAAATTTTTTACTTTGGTGGTTGCCATATTTTTTTAAAATAAAATAAATTTATAATAGCCACTACAACTTTTTGAAAAATAAGTTTATTTTGTAACGGATTCACAACTGTTTTTTTGAACAACAGTTGTTGATCCATACATATCTTAAGTTAGCTTAAAATATGCATTACAAAGTTTTAGCGAAGGATTGAGCACCCGAAGCGACCAAGATTGAAGGGAGATAAAACGCTCAAAACCATGTGGAAAGTAGGTCTCACAAAAATTTTGGATAATTAAGACAAAATTGTATGAAACTTTATACATTTTAATCATGGTATTAATTAAAAGAAGAAAAGTTTATGAAGAGGGATTTTTTGTTGAGTATTTTTTAGCTTATAATTTCTGTAAAAGAAATATTAATGCAAATGGATTAATATTTTTATGGTTTAAACTTTAAAGTGATAAAATATATTTCATTATATTTAATTAGTTTTATGATATAAACTGCTAATATTAATAAAAGTACAATAAAAAAGCAATATCCTGCTTAGGGTTTAGAGTTGACTTCGTGGTTTGGGGGTTTTTGGAAGAGGAAGGTTATTGAAGAATCGCTCTTTGTATCTCTGCATCCTTTTGTTATTCTCCTCCGATGGGCTACAATCGGACGCGCCGTTCCAAGCAGGACGGTCCTTCCCGCCGAACGCTGTCCAGCCGGAAACTCGAGTCGCAGTTGTAATCTCTTGCTCTTCTCTCAATATTCGGTTCTTTCGAGTTCATAATCTCTCATTTCTGCTTGATGATTTTCTTTAACTGACAGATTTGTGAAGAGTTTTCTTTTTTATTAATTATCACTGTCTGGTAATGATTTAGGGATGACAGTCGCGATACCTCACTACCAATCCAGGAAGGTGCGCACGCTTATTCGTATGGCTTTTGCACTGATTAATGTTGTTGTTATACAGGGAAAAAATTGGATATTGTTGAATGTCATGATAGTTAGATCAAGCTGTGATTTCTTCTATTTTATTTCTCTGTTATTTGAGTTGGTGAACTTTTCAAGTTGCTGTGATTTTATATATTTTCACCATTTGAGCCGATTATGAGCTTTCGGATATGTAGTTTGGATAAGAAAAGGTCGGATATTATTAGGCATATGTAGTGGAAAGAGATTGTTCGGACCCTTTCCAAAGGTGGCATATTATTGATTTTATATAAGCTCGACATTGCTGCCATTAACGACCTTATGTCAGTGGAAGAAATTAGATGTAAATGATAATTTTAATGAATTATTACAGCTTTGATGGATGCTTTACCGAATTAACATGATTGGAGGTATCAAATTAATCAACTTTGCTTTCAATTGAGATTTAGCTAGAAATCTTTTTTTGAAAGGGCATTTGGTTCCAATTTGCTTCATTTGTTTTTAAATATAGAATCTTAGGGGGACATGCTCTCCCTCCTCTCAATGACCCTCCCACATAAAGCCCATGTTTTTTGTTATCGGGTATGAATGAGAATGTCAAGATGGATTTATAGGACTAGATTGTATTGAGTGAAAATGATTATATAATTGTTGAATAATAAGGGTGTGGCAAATCAATTCAGTGTTTTTTTGATAATATTTTGCTGTAGGAACTGTAGTGCCGCTATTGTTGCAAAGTTAGACAAAGTCATTTGCTAATGTGTTCTTCTTGATTGAGGGAAGCCATGTAAAGGCACAGACCCTGTGAGGTATTTCATGTGCTTTTATTAACTATTAAAATTATATTGCGAAAGCTTTTGGAAATATTACACTAGAGCAAAATAATCTCAAATGTGGTTTGATGTTCTTTTTCATGTTCACTCAACCGTGTAAGATGTACCAATAGGGTGGGTTGCAAGATTTAATGTGAAAGCAATAGGGGATGTTAAGTGATAGATCAAGTATATGATAGCTAGAAGATGTCCAAACAACAATTCTATTAATTAGATTGTACATCAGATGAATGAGTTACTTGCAATGAATGTCAAGGAAGGATAATAAAGCTGCACAATGATATGGCTAATGATTATGATGATTTTAAGTTCTCTATGAAATGTTAATTTGCAATTTACTGATTCAAAAAACATGCATCTTCTTAGGATATGAATTAGTATCGGATGAATTGTTATTTAGTTTTTTTTTTTTACATTTTTTTTTATTTTTTGTTTTTTTAACACTGTAAATCTATACTTCAAATGGACAATAAAGGAGTTGGATTGTACGCTGAACTTGATCAAGGATGCACAAAAACATTCAAGAAGTCGCTAAAATCTGGCTTTACATTCGGTTGTTTTGTCCTCCTATTTTCATGCATTGTCATCCTAACTTTTTGGTGTTGATTTTATGAACCATCATTTTTTATTTATTCTCGTTGAATGGTACATGCGTCATTAAACTTATTTTTACAAAGACTTTTGAATACCCTTTATATCTTCATCTTTGATTAAGTTCTTATGGTCTTCACTTATAATGCATCTAATTGGATAAATGTATTAAGATATTTTATCTCTTGCCTTATTTATTTAATAAATATCTATTTTGCCTTTTTTATAGTAATATATGGTATATATCAATAAGTTGCAGTTTTTTCTTTGCTCCATATATAGTCTGTTCTAGATTTATTTCTTTACTATAGTCATTGTTACTATCTTTTCATATTTCTTTTTCTTAATGAAATTCGTACAATCTCACCCACCGCCAAATATCCTTACTCATGTTTGATATAATTTTTAACTCTTCCAAAAATTTTATTGAAAAATACTTAATGAAACCAAACATTCTACACCACATCAATGGCCAAAATAAAAATTTTAGTTTACGTCTTAGCAATCTATCTTGAAAGATAAGTATTTTCCCATATGTTGAGTTCTACAATCTTATCTAAGAGTAATTATTATTTCTTTCTTTTTATTATTTTCTTTTTCTTCTTAAGGTATATATTCATATTTAATATTTTCTGTTATTTGATCAGTATTATCTCTATAATAATTTTGATATAGTTGCAAAGTTTTTATTTATTTTTTAAGCAAAATGAATTATATTTGGATTTAGTGGCTCTGCTTACAAAATGTCATTCTCATTTTTTTTTTAAGTATGTTATTGTTATATAAGATTTAGGCTACTATATAAGCAATTATAGCTTGCCCCCATGCATTTTTATCTCCTATTACACATGCGTTATGTAATCGGAATTTAATTTTCAAATTATTCTCTTATCAATTTGAGGAACTTGAACTAGTCACTTTATGCTACCCTTTTTGATAATTACCAAAAAGGGTAGTATAATGTTAAACATTTAAGATAGAATAGTAAATAATAAGTTAATTATCAAAAAGGGTAGTGTAAAGTGAAGGAGAACATGTATACCCAAAAAAGAGAAAGTGACATCGAGACCAAACTTTCTTCAAAAATCTGCTCCAGCAATCACGAACCTGCACCCAATAAATCGGACCAATTTGGGAAAAGTAGAAGTCAATGCATTTAAGAAAGACACCTGCTTCCAGAAAAGGCTCAATAGTAGTCCCGCAAGCATCAGCAAAAGAAGAGAGTTAGCATATCCCATAAAGCTGGGATAGGAATCACACCATCCCACATATGAAAAGGCTATTCCAAACGAAGCTAAAGAGATTTGTAAAATCCAAAGCGTGCACCACCTCACCCAGATAAAAACCTTAAAAAAACATCTGAATCTTAGCTTGAAAATACCAATTTAAACTGAAGCAAAATTGTTCCCAGCAGTCGAGAGCCATATGAAACTGAACAACTGAAAAGCCAATGCAAAAACTGTCCCCCAGAAAAACCGCAAAGGCCCCATCCACTAATCCAGCAAAAATATAAATTAAAGTAAAACTGAAAAGGTGGTAAATCTGAAGAAAGCCTCCAAAGGGCAGCACAATGGAAAGCCCAGCAACAAATTTCCAGAGTGGTAAATTCCGTAACTAAACAAAGCAAAGACAGAAACAACTAAAATCTGATGTATGGTGAATCAAGCAAATCTCCTTTAAGCAAATTTTGAAGTTGCGGCATGGGACAGGACCCTTAAGAAACCTCATTTGTAATCCTACCCATTCTTGCTAACCAATTTGCTGGAGAGTTGCTCTCTCTATAAATTAAAGATAAATGAATCAATAAATTGTATCGTTGAATACAATCACAAATTCTATTCATTATAGCTAGCAAATCCCATCTAGGCTTAGAAGCCTTAAGGTACTCATCGATAAGTGTTTAAGAATCAGTCTCAAAAATAATTTTAGAGAGCTTAAGAAGAGCCGCAACTTGCAAGGCCAATAAAAAAGCCCAACCTTCAGCCTCCAAAGGAGAGGAAGCACAAATAGGAGAAGCGAAAAAGTACACACTGGCCAGAATGATTCCGTAAGATTCCACTAGAGACCCAACTTCCATCCATATTAAATTTAAACCAGTCCATAGGTGGGGTTTGCCATTTAAATATGGCCATCCTACCCTTTTAAAAACGGTAAGGGAAGGAGCAAACATACTACCCAACATTCTCCTCCTTTTTTGATGCAACACAAAAAGTAAAAGATAAAAAGAAAAAAGAAAAGGATTTGTCTTCTTTGCTTGGAAGGTTGCAAAACACGATAGAAGAACCTTTTTTCCTTCTATTTTTCTGACACCAACACTTGTCTAAGGCCTCACCACTTGCTGCCACTTCAAGCAACCATACACGAGCATGTCATCAAGCCATCCCGGGCAATCCGCTTCACCATCCAGTCGCAGAACCAAAATTTAACGAGAGGGGTGATGAGTGTTTAAGTTTAAAACTTTTGTTACCATAAATTTTTAAACTACTATAAAATATGAGTATAACTAATATTAATTTTTTTTTAAATATTTATGTTTAGGTGGTTGGGAAAAATGTTTTAGTGTACTATATGATATTAGAGAGTTTTACACTGCCATTGTTATGTTCCAAGCCTCAGATGTAAAAAGTGCAGACTTACATTATGTTTGTCGATAATCGACATAAAATTTGTCGAAAAATCATGACATGAATTATTTAAATCCTTGTGTAAATGCTAGAGACTCCCTTGGAAGTGATGCATTGTATGACTTGAATATAGTAAAAAGTGTGCAAGTGCCTTTATATTGGCACTCGGGTGTAGCGTCATATAAACAATGATTCTCAAGTTATGTAATGATGCATGTAAAATTAGTTCATGAAACTAATATTAGAGTATGATCTCGGAATATGTGTATGCTCACTAGTAACTTAATGAAATTATTTGATATTATGTTTCATAGAAAGAGAAATATTTTATGTATTAAAAAAACTAAATGAGTTAGTGGAAAAACTAATAAGATAGATAGCTTTGGTTTGAAACTTTGGTATTCATGTAGGAGTCACACTAGAAATGATGTAGGTGCAATTATAGATAACAGTTTGAAAGATAATGTTGTAAAAATTAATAGAATATAAAATAAAATTATAGCCTTTAAGATTGTTGTTGATACTAACATTTTTAATGTTATAAGTGCGTATGCTCTTCAAGTAGGTTTAGATATAGATTATAAAGAAAAATTCTAGAATGACCTAAAAGAATTAATACAAATAATACTTTTTGAAGAAAACTTATTATTGGAGGACATTTAAATAGACATGTTGGTATAGTGATAGAAGATTTTGAAAATATTCATGGTGGCTACGATTTTAGAGTGATTAATGAAGAAAGTAGAGCCATATTAGATTTTATTTTAGCGTATGTTTTATTATTATTAAAATTTATTTAAAAAAGAGATTAACATATTATTACTTACAAGAATTGATCTAAGAAAATACAAATTGATTATTTTCTTATGAGAAGAGATTATTGAGAATGTAAAGATTGTAAGGTTATTCTAAGTAAGATTTTAAGTAGTTAACTTCGA